GCACTTAAAGTTATATTTAGAAATTAAAAACAAAAATGAAAATTTTGTATTAAATTAGAGAAATGAAGGTAAGAATATAAAATTTGTTGGAAATACTTATTTAAACCTAAAACTGTTTGAATTTTTTTCCTTCTGTTTTTGTAGAAAAAAATATTTATTGGAAATAATGCTTTTTATTTTATTGCTATATTACTTTTATATAGTGGTAAAATTATTTCATGATATAAGTGATATATTTGTTTAAAAAATAATTATACTTATTTGACCTTTTCATAGATCATTTCCTAAAAATAATACTTGAAATAAATTTCTAATATTTTTTTTATTTATTAAATTTTTGATATTTTTTTTTTACAGAACAGTTGAACTATTCTGTAATTAATCAATAAGAATAATATATGCGATTTGCGCAATTAATCAAGTAAAATCATATAAGAAATGATTTACTTTCAAAAAAAAAAGAGAGAAAGTAATAATTTTAAAAAGCATTAAAAAAACAAAATTTAATTACTTTTTTTTTCTTTTTTGCTGTTGAAAAGATTCATTTCATTTTGAAATATTGTATGATTTTATCTTTTTCATAATAATAATAATCTTTAATAACTTTGGTATAGCGTTTAAAAATTTTTCCTTTTTTTTCTCTTCTTTTCATAAATAATCAACCAAAGAAAATAGAATATTATGACTTATGCGAATTGCTAAAATTTTCAAACCAACTTCCTTCTACTTGTTTTTTAATGTAATTAAAATTTGAAAATAATAAAAAGTAGTTGGGAGATAATGGTAAATTATAAAAATTATGAGAATAATATCAATTTTTTTTTTGTTTACTATTTAAATTGTTTGATTCTAATAGATAATATATAGATATTTGTTGCCTTATATTTAGTTAAGTGACATTTTAACTTATAAATTATTTTTTAACGTTTGCTCATCACTATTTAATTATTGAATAAATAAATTCATAGCTTAAATAAACTTTTGCCGTTTCAATAATTTCTCAGTCTTTTTTATTACATTTATAAGAAAAAATTTTTTCCCTTCTTTTTGAAAAATGATGATATATTGATATATATATATATATATATATATATTACCAATAACGGGTCAAATTCAAGTAAAAAGGAAGAAAAGGAAAAAAAGTGAGAAGTCTAAAATTAATGTAATTCTAATTATTTGAAAATCCCATAAATTGTAGTGAATTTTTTTTTATATAAAAAGTAAAAAAGCGAACTAGATTGACTGAGAAGAAAAAAATTCTTTTTTATTCTTTTAGTTATTTTTTTTTAAAAAAAAGAAAAAGATTAGTTTTTTTTTTTTTTAATTTTTTTAATTCGTCATCAGCAGCACAACAATTATTTTTTAAAAAAAACCGTAGAGAGTAATTTAAACTTATAATTAAAGCTTCCGATTGAAAATTTTATCTATGAGGAAAAAGTAACTTCAAAAAAAAATACTTAATTATTATGAATAGGAGAAATTATTGGTCAGATAAAGTTAATGAAATTTTCATGAAAAATAAAATTAATGAAATTTTGCATGGTCTTACAGATGTCATTTAATTATTCCGAATTTACAAAGTTTAGGTAGAAGCAGTTTGCAAAACTTTTATAGTTAAATCTGCAAAACATTATTTTTTTAATAATTAAATTTAAATTCATGAATAATTTTTTTTTTTGTAGGTGGGTAAAAAAAATTTGTTTTAAATGAATGTTTAATAATTTTTTAATTTGGAAAAAAGAAGAATTATGAAATGTAAAAATTATTTCATTGTTAAACATACAAATTTTGATGAATCATCCAAGTAATAATCAAAACAAAACAAATAAAATTTTAAGCATTATTTATTAGGTAATGCAATTGCAATCAAACATTACTTATTAAATCATTCATTGAGTAATAGTAGTGATAGTAATAAGAAATAGAAAGGTAATTGATAAGACATTTCAATTAATGAAGTTATACTATGAACAAAAAAAGAGAAACCAATTTCTTCTCCACTTTCTTTTATTATCACTGTAAAATATTAATTATTTATGAATAAGCTTGATCATTTTTTAAAAAAAGGAATTAATTTTAAGACGAAATTATAGAGATAACTAAAGTATATGTCGTAAAATGAAATAGTAAATAAAACTTGAAAAAAAAAAAAAAAAGCAATCATTAGTATTATTTTGAATCAACAAAATATACTTTAAAACATTCAATCAATTATTATCATTACTATAATTATAATCATTTATTACCATTATCATTATTATCAGCATTAAATGTTTAGAATTCTTTTCCACTATTGCCTTCCCACTATTACGAGCAAACATTAGCTGTCTCTCCTCATTTTCTCTCTCTCTGTTGGATAAATTTATTTATATTACCATTTAAATATTGTTCCACAACATAACAACAATGGTAATAGTAATCATTAGTTAAAATTAATTACAATTTTAAAATTTATTTATACAAATATTTGTTAATAAAGTGCTAACACTAATAGTTCACTTTCACTGCTAATAGTCCAATTTTAAAGCTAATAATTTATTTTCAGACTGCAAAGTTGCACTACTGAATTTGCGTGCAACGATTTGCTAAAGTGCACGAATTGCTAAATAGCAAGTAAAAGTAAACTTTTTTACTTATATTATTAATTTATTTTCTTTCGTAATAATATTCATCTTTAAATCTAAATGCAATAACTGAATAAAATAAAACGATCTGAAAAGAAGAAATTCAAAATTTTTTAAAATATAACAAACAATTCGGTATATTTTTATTAAAAAATAAGAAAAACCAAAAAAGACGATTTAAAAAAAATATGCACTAAATTAAATAAGGAAATTAAAATCGAATGATATGATTTGAATTGATAACAAAGTTAGATTTAAGAAGATTTTTTTATGTTATTAAATTAATGAATCAATTCTCATTTGTTGTGTCAATGATCATTTGCGCTGGTAATTAATCAGCGCTCATCTGCTGTGCAATTAATAAATCAACAATTTTTCATTAACATTTTAAAAGAAAAATCAAATTATTAGAAAAAATTTACTATTAGAAAAAAATGTTTAATTAATTAATTTGATTAAAAGCTTTTAATAGTATTATTCTTTTCGAATTTCATCAATATTTTCAATCATCGAAATTTTACGAAAATTAATTTAGTTATTTTCCCAACCTGCAACAATTAAAATGAAGTTATCGGAAATAAATTAATTAGGGGGAATTTATTTGAATATTTGCAGTAAATATTAAAATTTATATTTTTTAAGATTTAAAAACACAAAATCATCATTTTTGAACGAATGTTAAATATCTTTGCAATGAATATGTATTGCAAAATTAATTATCACATTCTGGCTTAATTGCAATTTATTAATGAACCTAATTTTGTAGCTCATCTAATTATTTCAATAAAAATTGAATTATCAATCTTGTTTTTTGTTTTCTCTTTTCTTTAATGCTTTTTATATCTTTAGTACCGATTAAGATTAGTATTAGTACCTTTTTTTTTAATTTTTTAGCAATAATTTCCCTAATAGCAATTATAACCTTGTTAACTTTTTTTTAATGATAATATATTCCAGTAATTAAATATTATTTAATAATAATGACATTTAATAATAAAATTTAGTAGTACATAGTAAATTAAATTAATATACGAAAAGCCTTTATCGTTTTTCTATAATATTTGCTATAATTGAAACTAACTAAAATAATATAAACAAAACTGCTAAATTTTTTTTTCACAAAAAAAAAAAAAAAATTAAAAAGATAAAAAAATGGAAACTGTAAGTAAATTTGATAGGAAATTGTCAGTCATTAAAAAATCATCATTTACTATTAATTGAAATACTACTATTGATGTAATTTAAAACACAAACATTCATGTATAAATATTACTATTTACTTCAATTATCATATCGTATTTGATTTATTATAGCTTTTCTCATTTATTTTTAGAAAAGTTTAATTGTTATTTATTATTTTTATTACTTTATATTTATTTGTTACTTATTGAAAGAATTTTATATTCAAAAAAAAAATTTTTTTTTTCAAATTTATTTTTCTGTTATTATTTAACAAAAATTCATTTATTTTAATAAAAAAATAACGAAAACAAAAAAGAAAAAATAAAAGTGATATTTTATTTAGGTTAAAAAAAAGAAGAGAAAAAAAAATGGCATTAAAATTTTCGATTTATTATTTACTTAAAAATTGAAAAAAGACTCTTTTATTTTCTTTTCTTTTATCAAAGGAATGTTTTCTTGAAAAAAAAAAAAGAAATGATGAAAACTAGACAAGAAATTTGATTATTTTTTTTAATTTATTTAACAAATGAAAAATGTTTTTATTTATTTATTTATTTTTTCTTTTCATTTTTTAAAAATTTGTTCTTTGATTACATTTGTGAAACAAAAAACTAGACTGTAAAAACTAGAAAATTGTTCCTTTTATATTATTATTATTATTATTGTAATTATAATTATAATTATTATTATTATTATTATTAATATTATTATTATTTTACCTACCAATTTTTTTTGGCTTGCTTTCTTTTTTTTAATCAATGTATTTTAATTAACTGGTAATTCCTTAGAGTGATACTAGTTTATTTCATCATCAGTAGTTAATAGTAAAAAGTACAGGTAAGTAAGTATGACGTATCTGTCATCCAGTTTACATCAGTCATTTCAATCATTATTTTACATCATCCAGTCATATTATTTCGATTATTTTCTTTTATTTTTTCTCAATCTGAAATTGATTATTTCTCATATTTAAATTTTATTGCTACAGTTAATCAGAGGAAAAAAGAAAATTTTTAATTATTTCAATATATCTAATCAAATTGTCACCTTCATATTTGAATATCATTAATTCTACTATTTAATTATATTATTCTGCTATTTTTTCATTTGTGTTGTTTTTATATCCATTAATTATTTTTTAGATGTAAAAAGAAACAAAAAGCGAGAAAGAAAAAAAAGAAAGAGAGTTTAAAAATGAACGATAGATGTGCTTCATCACGAATGGAAGTAGCTCGCTTACCTGGTATAGGCTATACTTCATCTAATGGTAACAAAGATATACGAGTGCTATCGTCTAATGCTACCAATAGCACCGAACAGTGGTATACCGTGGAGCAATTTGAAAAAGTTAGCCTAATTTTCAAATTAACAAATATTTTAGTAAACAGATTAAAAGAACAGTTTTGAAAATAAATTTTGCAAAACAAAAATTATTGCCAGTGAATGAAAATCATTAAATTAAATCACAAAAAAAAAAACAAATAAATAAAAGAGTTCGATTGAAATTTGTATCGATTACTCGTAAATTATTTTTCAGAATTATCGATCACTCTTAAATGAAGCTAATAATAAATCATCTGAAGTTGCAATTACCTGACTAATTACCATATAAGGCTTAGCATTGCAAATGCTAATGACCTATCATTAGCAATTAATCAATTTGTACGAAAAAAGTGAAAGTTTTTGAGTCAAAAATTTAAAAAAGTAGAACAGACAAAACAAAAATAAAAAAAGGAGGAAAAAACAATCAAAGAGTTTAGCTAAGTTCATAATAATTTATTGAGCAACGAAAAAAAATAATTTGTTTAAATATTTTAAATCAAAAAATAAAAAATGGAGACTTAAGCCTAAACCTTATTAAAATTAGATAATTGTATAATAGAAACATAAATTGGATTTAATCATTCTATTTTACTCATTTAATAAGATGAATAATATGTTTTTTTTTCTTTTTCAATTAAGATAAAATTGTTTACCTTTTAAATGATTATTTATTAAAAAAAGTATGGAAAAGAAAAGAAATCTTTTGTAAATAAAAAATTTTTAGGAACATGTTATTGAAATACTCGAAAAACTTGAATACGGTGATTTAGATGATGAAATATGGGGTAAAATTATTTTAATGGAAAAATGTAAATGTCTTGCAAAAGCGTATTTAAGGTTAGTCCTATTTTTTCAGTTCATTTCTAATGATATATTGAAAAAACATCATTCTTTAATTTATTTAACTCACCGCTTATCATTTATCGTAATTGTAAGTTTTTTAAAACTCATCACTTATCGCTGATCACAATCCCAAACTTTTTTTAACTTTAAATGACACAAAATAAAATTAAATTCTTATTGTTTTTAATTATTAAAAAAATGCATTTCAATAATAATTTACTATCATTAATATACATTTATTATCAATAATCTAATAGATAATTATAATAAATCTTTAATTACACTTACATTAACATTTTTTCCTTTCTTTTTTTTTTTCTTTGTTTTTGCTAATCGTTAATATCTAAATATTTTGAGAATTTTCGAAAGCTTTTTTCAGCACTTAAATGAAATTTTTTTCTTTCCCTTAAATTAATTTTTCTTTTTTTTTGCTCTTTATTTTCCAAAGAAATAAAACAGTGAAAAAATATAGGAAGACAACAGTGATAATTGATGGTAGCAGCGATGAATATGATGGTATTACACTTGGCTTTAATTATTTTCAAAATAACGATTATAACAAGGACAAAAATAATATTCGACATAAAATTGGCGATGTTTGTTTTTTGTTTTTAAAATATTTTATTCATTCACTTTAATTGCAAAAAAAAAATTTTTTTATTAATTAAATTATTTATCAGAATTACCGATAATTCGCATTTTCAATTAAACTTTCACTTTTAGTGATAAGCTTTTATTAACACCAATATATAAAACAACGTTTATATCAACAAAACTTATAATAATATGGAAATAATGTTAAATGGAGTTTAAAAATAAATGTTAATTAATTACTTTGTTAATAATTTTATTGGCCAGTAAAAACTCATCATTAACCAATTAAAAAAATTAATAATTTATTATTCAGTTAAATTAATGGTAAATGATCTTTTAGGGTGTTATTATTAAAATTGATAGAAATGGTAATATTAAAGCTATGGCACGAGATTTAGCACCAGTAATTGTGCAAGGATGGCATGATCCAGTATCAAAATGTATTCCCGATCAACTGATCAGTCAGGAGGGTCATCTAAAAACCATTAAAGATCGCCTAAAAGGTATTACTGATCAACAACGGGTTGAAAAGGTTACTATTTTATTATTTCAGCCATATATTTTATCAATATGATAGTTTTTTTTGTTGATAAATTGATACAATAGAAATAAAAAAAAAATTACATACATAAAATTAAATAAATTACAAGAATTTTTTAAAAAAATTTGAAAAAAAAATATTTTACAAAAAATTAGGAAATTATTTTTTTTAAATAAAAAACGAACTTCAACATTAATTAAGAATCATTTAATTAATTGATTATTACATTAATTAATTGCACCATTTCTTTTAATAACGCAAGTAAAAACTTGCAAAAAAAAAGGTATGCAGAAAATTTTTTTTTTTTAAAAAAAAAAGACCAACAAAAATTTTACAAAAAAAAAAAAGATATGAAAAAAAGTATTCTTTTCTAAAATAATACTAATAATTTATAGCTATTCGTTTAATTTCAATTTTAGCATATACTTTTTAAACAGATATTTGATATGCGTTTGTTTAATTTGGCAATGGAACATGAATTAAAACAATTGGAACCAAATATACCCGAACTTTTGCTAAAAACTTGCACACGAATAGCGCTGGTAAAAGATGCGGGCAAGAATGCATTGAAAACTCCCTGCTGGTTTATGATTATTAATTTAGTAGCACTGGATGTATTACGCAGTAAATTACCTATTCTAAGTAATAAATATCTTTTACTTAGAATAATTATTTGAATTACCTATTCAAAGTAATATTTATTTTTCAGTTGAAATAATTAATCATAAAACAATCAAAAAATCAATAATCACCAAATTGCTTAATCAAGGCAATAAATACTTATACGTATATATTGCCTTATTTTGACTCTTCATATTTTTATTTTTTTGTAAAAACTCATATTTTTTTATTTTTTAGTTTTATAAAAGCATATCAGAAAAAAAAGGAAAAAAAATTATTTTGAAAGAATTTGAAATTTGGAAGAGAAAGCTAAGAAATTTTAATTTTTAGATTTTATACCTAAGAAACAATACGATCACTCTCAAATTACCACTGAAATATTTCCATCATATACAAAACAGTAAGCTTTAATTTTTTTTTTCTTTTTCATTTAAAATTAGACAAAAATAAGTTCTAAATTATTGATAATTTTAAGTAATTTTTGTTATATTTGCTAGATTGTAATGGATAATTAAAAAAAAAAAAACGATTTGATTATTACCAGTATTTGATCAATCAAATTTAGTAAATAATGCACTTTTTTTTTTTATCAAATTTAGCAGTTAATGCAACTTGATAAGCAGTGCGAAAATAGAAAACTTTTGCAAATCAAAATTTAATTTTCATTACAATAGCACAAATAAAATATTGCTCTCTCCGTTATTCTGTAATTTTTTTAATCTAAAATTTGTACCCTAAAATGCTAACAAATTTCAAAGTTAGTATTAGTCAAACTAAATCTTATTTAAAATTCAAAAGTGAATTCAAGACACGAAACAATATTATTGGAATGAAATGACTGATATATTTTGACTTAATGTTAAAAGAAAAGAAGAAAAATAAATTTCATTTCACCAATTTTCAATCAAAAAAGCAAGTGCACTAAAGTTTTTCGAAATATCTTTTTTTTGTTTTGAACATATTAGATTTTAATGTTTAACAAAACTTTTTAATGCATTTTAGACATAGCTCTAATTTTAATTTTAAAGTTTTCATAGCTATAGTTTTTACTAATCTTCCATTTTTAAAATCGTTTTTCGTTCTTTTTTTTTTTTTTTTAATCCTTTTGTGTTTTTGCTGTTCTTTACACCTTCATTCCAAATAATTTCAACTATTTTTAATTTTTTCTTTAAACTATTTTTTTGGATATTTTAAATAATTTTTGAGTAAAGAAATTTTTAATTTTTCAAATTCAATTTTTCTCAGATCATTATCATACACCAATTCTAATGATATATTAACAACTATAAAAGAAGGAAAGCATAACAAGGATGAATGGTTTCAATTGAAGGACTTATCAATGTCATCCAGTGGTTTTAACAGTATGAATTTGGTGAAAAATCCTGAAAAAGTTGAAAAGTTTGTTTAATTTATATTTACTTAAGCATTAATTTTTTTGCTAAAGCTGGAAGGAATATTAAATTAAGAAGGAAAGAAAATTTTTTCCTCAAATTTTCTGCTCCAATAATTTGAAATTATTTTTAATTTAAATGTAAACATTTCAACTAATTAGTAACAATGAATTTTACAGTTGGAGCAAGAATTCGCTGAAATTTTTGAATGAGCATGAAGAAGAATTTTTGAATGGTGAAGAAATGGACAATATTACTTCTTTAAAAGTTTATTGATTTTTTTTTTATTTTCATATTTATTATTTATTCATTAAACAAATTTTAAATTATCAAACAAAAAAAAAAAATTTTTTTTTAACTATCAAATAATTGTTTTTTATGAAAAATCTCAAAATGGTTTTTGTGATTTTTGTTCTACATTTGGAAATAATTGAAATACTTTTTTCTTTTCTTTTTTTTTCATTTTGAGGAAGATCAAAATAAGGTCAACGATTATTTAGAACTTCAAGTTTTATTCATATTAACATGCCATATCTTAGCACAAATTAATGAAATCAATGGATGATAAACAGTGGTCAATGAAAGCAGTTATACCCAAAGAAATTTGCAGTTCATCTATTCAGCGGAACACTTTAATGTTAAATTCAAATTTATCATTAAACAAAAGTGACGATGAATTGGACAATTTGTCGAGTAGCGATGCATATCAAAATGCTCAATGCACTAAAATATATGATCATGAATATAACAGAAATTGGAAAATGAATCAGGCAACTGAAAAATATTTTCAAATTGGTAAATGATTTTTCTTTTTCTATTATATTTATAATATTTCTGGCATTACTGATTATATTAATACTGCTAAATTAAAATAATGTAATAGTAATACTAAAGTAATTACAGTATAATATGTAATTATAACAGTAATACAAATAATTTCATAATATCTGGTAGAAATGTCAAAATTTTTCATTTTTTTAAAACTTTAAAAAAAAAAACTTGATTGAAAAAAGATGTCAGATTGAATAATTTTATTAATTAGTTTAAATAAATTTTCTTATTTAATACGAAAATTTTTATTAAATAATTTTACAACTAATTTATATATATCATAAAATTTTTTCTCAAATTTCACACAACTTAAAAAAAAATTATTTAAATTTAAATCAAAAATTGTTTAGCTAATAGCAAATTAGAAGCGCAACAAAGCTATACAAAATCAATTGAGCAAACAAATACGCCATCTGAAATTATGGAAATTGCTTCGTATCCAACGTATCAATTAGATTCTCAGCGAACATCGTCGTTACATGATGGAATTTATAAATTAAAAGGATCAAAAATAGTGACAAGAAATATGTCACATATAAATTCATCATCTGATGACAATTTTATTTTAAAGCAAAATGAAAATTTTCACCTTGATAAATTAACAAATGGGGAAAATAATACTACAGAACAACCAACAATTATGAAACATTCAAAATTACTTATGAATGACAAATATTTGAATCAATATTTTACATATCCAAAAAATAATTCCACTAAAATAGTGGCAAATAGCAATGATAATCTATATGATATTAATAAGAGTAAAATTGATGATTTTTTAAAAATAAATCATCATCAGATGTATTCATTGAAAAAAATTGAAAATAATAGTCAAAAAGTTTCAAATGTATCACAGTATCCTTATATGGTTGAAATTAATAATAATAATAATAATAATAATAATAATAATAATAATAATAATAATAATAATAATAATAATAATAATAATAATAATAATAATAATAATAATAATAATAATAATAATAATAATAATAATAATAATAGTAATAATAATAATAATAATAATAATAGTAATAATAAGAATAATAAGTCACTCAAAATTGTAAAAAAACTATTCGAAAACATAACAAATGATTTAAATTTAGCGCAAAATTCACATAAATTAAGCATTAAAAAACGAAAAAAGTTGAAAATGAAAATCGTAAAAAAAAATAAATTACAAACAAAGTATTGGAAATTTTCAATGAAATCACTTACACATTTATTACCGTTTGTTAGAAAAAAGAAGCAAAAAATAAGAAATTTAGCGCAGAGGAAAATAAAATTGAAAAAATTTTGTAAAGTAAAATCAAAATATGCATCAAATATTTTCATAAATCCAATTTATGCTAATGATCGAGCTTTATCCAATGAATGTAGCCAAAAATTACGAATGAAAATACCACAATGTAAAATTACTACTTTCTATGGCATTTCAAAAAATAGAAAAAGTATCAATGATAATATTTCATATAAATATTCCACGTTTATTCCATCTTATCTATCTTATCATTACTTAGATAATAATTATCAGTCAAGAAAAACATTGAGAAGATTCATTTGATAAATGTTAAATTATCGTGCAGATAGCTAGATAAATATATAAGAATATCAGTTTATTTAGCATAAAAAAATATAAAATTAAAAAAAAACTCTATGTTTGCTGTCAAAGTATTTTTTGAAAGATTTTCTAATTTAATCAAAGAATTGAAATAATATTTTAACACAAACTTGGTATATACAAGAAATTTTATTTTACTGATTATTTCCTTGTTAAATTAATTATATTTGTTCATCAAAGCAAATATGTTCATCAAAGTGTATTTATGATGATTTATGTTTAAATGACTGAATAAATAAATGATTATAAATGTGATATATTATTTCATTCTGTATGATATATATTTTTTTTCTTTTCACTTTCTTGTCAATTAATTAATTTGTCACTGATCAATTGCGATATCAATTTTATGATAATTCGATGCATTGCATAAAGGAAAAATTCATTTACATTTGCATTATATCATCAACGACATATCATCAAATACTTATCATTATTTGACACCATTATTTTCTTATCATTATTCATCAAATAATATCAATTGTGATATTATTTATCATTATTTATCTTCTTTAATTATTTCGCTCCATTATTTATTGATCCTGATCACTTGCATTCTATTTGCTATTTCCTGAAATAAGAAAGTTTTCAGTTTGTCTGATAATTATTAATTTGCAATGAAATTTTTAGTTAAATTTCAGAAAAAAATTGAAGAAAAGGAATGCTTTTAGATGATAATTTATTACTCCTTATTGTTGTATAATTAAATATATTTCCGTTAATCCGGAATGATAGACAAGCAAATACCGGTTTAGTAATATTGGATATGAAGTACTGTTTGTTGTTTACAAAATCATTCACTCAATCATTGATCTGATCATTTGCATTCTATTTGTTACCTCAATAAACAATACTTTTCCTTTTCTTTTTTCATATTATTTGAACTTTACAATTATCTTTATCAACCACATAAATTTTTATCACATGTTGTCATAATAGCATTAAGATTTAATTTTTTGAAAATTATAATTAATAAAATATATGTAATTATTGGTAAGTTAAATCTGTGGCAAAATACCTATTCTGGTTTTGGTCAAATGATAGCAGTTAGTTTATTTTTTATTTTTTAACTACAGCAAAAATTTTATAGGTAAACAATTCGTGGATTTAAAAAAAAAAATGTGAAGAAAGTATATTTGTTCGATTTTATGATCATTATGAGAAGTTGGATGACATTTTCACAATGCTTGCAATCAAAAAGACTAGTTTTACAATCGAAAAATAATATTACAGCAATAATAACAGTAGCAATAGCAATAACAATAATAATAGCAACAGAGCAGCTATCTCATTAATAATTTCAAAATTTAGAAGAAAATTTTTTTACTATTCATTTTTGCATATCTCTCATAAATTGAAATAATATTAAAAATCTATTCTTATAGTAGATTTTGATATCACTGAACGATGTATTATTTCTTATCACTAATCGAATTAACACACTCACTGTTCAGAACAACACCACATTGCTCTTATACAATATGGACTTGAAAAAGAATAATGATTTCAATATCCTATCATCGTAAAAAAATTTCCATCTATTTTTTCGCTTTCATCTTCTTTAAACTATTACAAATTTTAATTTCCTCGTTGTGTTTTAATTAAATCCCAATTAATTTTATTCAATTCATTTCCTGATAATTTATATTTTACAACCAGTTCATTTATTTTACATAATTTCGCATTTCTCCATTTTCTTTTTCTTTTACATCCTTTATTATTAAATTTTTAAAATGAAAGTGTAATAATTGTTGTTTTTATTTTCAGAAATGAAAAGCAAACATATTTTATTATGAATGTATTGATAATACACAATCATTTAGCAAAAAAATCAATGATAACAACAAAACAACAATAACAATAAGAACAGAATAACTATCTCATTAATAATTTTATTAAGGTCTAGTGTTACCATGTGAAAAAGAAAGAAAAGAATTCTGAAGAAAGTTATTGTTGAAAATGGTTAATGTTGCGCTAATCTAACAATAACATATGGTAATAACAGCAACAGGAATAACAATAACAGCGACAAGAACAATAATGATGGAAAGAACAATAATAGCAACAAAAAAACAACCGCAACAAGTAACAACAACAACAAAAACAACAAACAGTAAAAAGATAACAACAACGGCAACAGTAACAGTAACAACAGCCAACGAAGAAGAACAAAAAACAACAAACAGTATAATAAGAACGATCACAATAAGAATAACAAATAACAAGAACAAAACAACAACAGAATAGCTGTATCATGAATGGTTTCATTAAAATTCACTTTGAAAATCGCTTTAAAAAAGGAAAAAAATGTAGTTAAAGAATAGTTAAATATGTATGCACTCATTGCCTCCCTTATTTACTATTCAAATTAGCAAAATGAGGTCATTATGGTCGCAGATTCTGCTATCAATCATCAACTGACCAAAGCAACTAAACAAATCTTTACTGACCGACCCATTTGCTTTCCATTAGCATTCTATCTGTTCTCCCACATATGTCACTTTTGCTCTTCTTTCCTCCATTCATCGCTTTTTTTTTTCATATTTTTTATTTACAAAATTATTTTTTAGTAAAAATAAATGTTTAATTGCTAAAATTAAACTAAAATAATCAAAAACAAGTAAAACAAATTCCTTTTCTGTTTTTTATTGCATTATTTTGATTTGTTCTAATTGTTTTTTTTTTTTTTTTGCATTTTAATCTTTGGAATTATTTAAAATTTTTGTTTTTGAAGTTATTTCAGTGCATGCTATAAGACTTTGGATCATATTTGAGTGACTTTTTGGGAAATAAAAATAAAAAAAAAACATTTTTCTTTTTTAATCAATACATTTCCTTTTTTTTCCTTCAATAATATACGATGCCTTTTAGTAAACTTAAAATATTAACAATTCTTTAGGGATATTTTATTAATCTTCTACTTTCTTCTTTCGATCCTTTTTTTCCGTCGAATAAAAGCATAAACAGTGTTACTGTATTAGATGTGAAAAATTAGTTATGAAAAGATTCAGATTTAAAATACGAGAAAACATTAAATTTATAATTTTTAATTGATGTTTGAAAATTTTTCAATTATTTTTATTTTTCCCACACTTGCTTTTTTTCTTTTTTTTGCTTCGTTTTTATTTTATATATTGAACAATTAAATTGTTAATTTTATTTTGTTATGAAATTTTTTCTTTTGACTTTTTTCCTCCAATTTTCTTTCAATAAAACATGTTACTGATTAATTGATTAATGATAGTAAAGCGATGAAGCAAATATTTGAATTAACTGATTATTTGGGTCCATTAGCTGCATCAATGTGCTTTTTTGTCGCAATTTTTTTACTATCACTGATTATTAATTTCATTTGGATTTCAAAAGATGATGAACGTACTATTTTCGAAAAGGTTACAGATATTTATCACTATTATTATCATTATTAATCATTATTATTTAGTACTAGTATTATTATTAATTGCTATTATTTATTATTACTATTGTTGTTATTATTGCTATTATTACTATTCATTTCATAATATAATCTGAAATAATTTTTTTTTTTTTTTTGAATTTTTTTTTGAATAATAAGTAAATGACACTTTTTTTTTTGAACAAAAATCTTCCAAATAATGTAGAATGGTGAAAGAAATTTATTGCTTTGCAGTTTGGTTCAAATTTATGTGGCGTCCGTCGAATGCGTCATCGTTCTAAAAAGGTTTTTATTTTTCAATTTTACATAAATCTCTTTTTTTTTTATATATCAAACTATTATTATCATTTTATTACTTTTTATAATCAAAGAGTGAAACTAGTGATTGAATTAGAACTTAGTCGTAATTAATACTAAATAAATTCAAATTTTAAATACGTAGTAATACAATTGAAAGAAATACGAAATGCAAAAGAAACGATAATGATTATCATTTCCTTACGATGATCTCTTTTTTTCCTTTTTTATTTTATTTTTTTCTCAAATGGAAAAAAAAGATAGAAAAAATTAAAAGTGAATTTTTCGGAAAAAAAATAGAGGAAAAAAAA